CCCTTTGACCCATGGAAAGCAAGGTTCACTTGGCGAAAAATATTGATCCCCTTTTTTGTCAGAAAGTTCTTCTAACTTTCTTTTCTTTTAGTAGAAAGTTCTTCTAACTTTCTTTTCTTTTAGTAGAAAGTTCTTCTAACTTTCTTTTCTACCCCTTTGCTTTTTGAATTCGTCATAGATTATTTGAGTGCAATCTTAGAATGAGAAGCACCGTGCGGCGTTTAGAATAAGTTAAGCGTGCGTGTGTGGGATCTCTCGCGATTAGTATTAAGTTAATGTACGTGTGTGTGTGTGTGATACAAGTTCTTTACTGGATTGTGGTAAAGAACTTGTATATGCGAGCCTATGAGCTAAGTAGAGTCAGAACTCGAGTTAGAACTCATTTATCCTTCTGATAAATGAGGTTGCATTTGGAGGGTGGTTGGGATTTGGAGTTAGGGCGGGTCACTGTCGTAGCAACCTCCACGTGGTGTGACCTGGTAATCGGTATCGTTTTCTAAATGTTTTTAATGAACTTTACAAAACGATATCGAGCTAATAGCTACGAATTAGAGAATAATGTGTTCCACATTTTCTTTTAATGTTTGGAGCAAGTAAATATGTATTACAAGTACATTTATTCAAATCTAGAAGATTTACAAATTTTATAATAAAATCTTATAACAAATCTTGTAATAAAATCGTATAACAAATTTTGTAATAAAATCTTGTAACTAATCTTATAATAAAATGTAAAACTTTGGAAAACGAGATCACAGCAGATAAGACAGAAACCACAGTCCGAACACTCTGAAATTAATTAGTGTTGCATTCCGATACAATTTGGCGCATTATGAAGTTAATTAAGCCAATAAAATTAATATTTATTGATTCGCGATAATTAGTATGCAAAATCGTTAATTACTTACTTTCTGAGCACACTCTATAAACTTTTATGATTAAACAGTATTCAATGATTCCCCAGCTACTTTCTCATATCACATATGTTCACATTTTTATTGTAAATAATTAGTTATTAATTAATATCCAACGTGAAGTTGGCGGAATACATCGTACGTATCAGCTAATTTGAAATAATTAATAACACATTTTCTAAACACAATTTATGCACATTTATTATAAAAGAGTGTTCAATGATCCCTCAGCTACTTGTTCGTATTTGTTCAGATTTTTAATGAAATTAATTACTTATTATCTAATAACCTAAAGCCAGCTACGGTGACAAGCGGTATACACTTTGAATAATTAATTACACGTTTTGTGGATATATTTTATGCACTTTTACGATTGAAGATTGGTCAGCAATGCATTATTTACATGGTTCGATCATAAAAGTTTATAAATAATGTTCGAGTAATTAGTAATTAATTATTTTGTGTCAGCATTACGATACGTACATGAGCCGCGTATGTCAATTCTACTGCGCACTAAAAAAATGAATATTTCGGCACTTTGACGATGTAGTATAGTTCCTGAGGCATTTAGAAACAAATTTTTATTAGGGTTTGATGCGTTTTGATGCATAATAAAGCCAGAAAATGAATTTTTGTCGAACTCGGTCCAAAACGGTACAGGTGGCGCCGTCTAGCGGCGAGTGGCGGAACTACAAAAAATTAAAATTCCGATTTTCTCGAAAACTAGGGACTTTTCAAAAATTCTGAGATATACAAATTGTTCCTTGTCGCCTACGAAATCGAACGAATCTAATTATAGCTTGCTAGGACCATTATTAAAGAAAATAGAAAAATAGGTCAAAACATGGACTAAAAAATTGGCGTCCATCTAGCGGTGAAAGTTGGAACTACAAAAATATAAAAATGCGATTTTCTCGAAAATAAGCGAACTTTGACTACTTCTGAGGCTCAGAAGGTGTTGTGTGATCGTATTAGAAGTAAAATAAAGAATTAAAAGTTTCCTGAAAGCTTTAATAAAGAAAATAAAAAAAATGTCATTTTATGGAGAAAATTTGTGGCGCCATCTAGCGGTGGAACAGCGAACTAAACTGAAAAAACGTATGCCCGAACACGCAGTAATGGGGCAAATAAAAATTGATTTTCTGAGCTTAATAGACAAGAAAATGAATAACTTATAGAACAAAAATTGCTTTAAAATTTCTAAAGAAGCATTACTAGGCCGTCAAAGTTGCAAAATATTACTTTTTATATTTTTCCTTAATGCGTGTTCGGACATACGTTTCTCAGTTTAGTTCTCAGTTTCGCCGCTAGATGGCGCCACAAATTTTCTCCATAAAATGACATTTTTTTTATTTTCTTTATTAAAGCCTTTGAGAAGCTTTTATTGCATTATTTTGCTTCTAATACGATTATATAACACTTTCTGAGCTTCAGATGCACTTAAAATTCGCTAGTTGTCGAGAAAATCGCATTTTTATATTTTTGTAGTTCCAACTTTCACCGCTAGATGGACGCCAATTTTTTAGTCCATGTTTTGGACTATTTTTTTATTTACTTTTCTAGCGCTCTGAGGAAGTTCTTCTGGCACTATATAGGTTCTAGAGAAGTCACAGATTGATTTCTGACCCTCAGAAATACGTACAATTGCCTAATTTCGGAGAAAATCGAAATTTTAGTTTCTCGTAGTTCCGCCGCTCGCCGCTCGCCGATAGACTTGTACCGTTTTGGACCGAATTCGACAAAAATTCATTTTCTGGCTTTATCATGCATCAAAACGCATCAAACCCTAATAAAAATTTGTTTCTAAATGTCTCAGGAACTATACTACATCGTCAAAGTGCCGAAATATTCATTTTTTTATTTTCCCTATATGCGTGGTCAGACCCGTAATTCTTGCCGCTACGAATGCGGCGATATAATTCCAATCTCAGTTGATATGATAAAATATGATACTTAAATGGTAAATAAGTTTGAATAAGTTTGATGCGTCAGCTTTAAAAGAAACAATAATTCATGCTTATTTACTACAGAATATTTTATTGTTTTACGTACGTGTATAATACGAAACTTGTTTATGAATAATTTGTAATGAATCCATGGAATCATCTAATAATTTTTGTGATTGTAGGTACGGGATTCCCGAGTTTCTTGGAAGAATTGCGAACTGTCATATAGCAACGTGGTAAGTGATTCATGCGATAAGAATTATCTAAAAGATCGATAGAAATAATATAATATCTTATTAAAAATTATATTCTGAGTATTTCAGTATTTCTCGACAGCCAGAGTTCTACGATTTCAGAAATGAAATCATTAAGAATTCTATTTTATTTTGATGTGTTATTGATATTGCAATAAATTGCGCAATTATTGTAAATTACACAGTTGAAAATTTCCCAGTGTTGCGTGGAGACGTCATTGAGGAAGTTAAATATTGAGAAGTGTCCTTTGTAGTTGATGGAAATTGTGAACTCATTGATTGAAATAATTGATTTGTTTGTGTTAGATTGCTTGGACTTTCAGAATTGTGAAAAACTGTGATAAATTAGAGGGAAGTTAATTTCTGATTGATATAGTTAAAAAAGAAATTGAAGAAGATGAATATACCAAGCAAAACCACTAAAGATGATGCAGCGTTAGGTGCAGCTAGTGGAAATACATTGATAGGAACTGCTGCAGGAGCATCAGGTATAATTCAAATTATTGGAGCATCCTATGCAATTATGACAATTTATATGTTGTTTAGTTCCTTTCGTTGTGTACATTACCAATTTCATTATTTAGTGGTATTTGTTTTTTTACTCAAACATTGTAAGAATATATTTCAATTTGACATCAATGTTTAAGTAAATTAATGTTGCAGCTTCTATGCAGTTACAAGAAGACTCAAAGCTATGCAATGAAGAGGAGAAGAAAGTACCATCGAAGCAGGATATAATAGATTATTATTCTAAAGGTAAAAAGAAGATGAAAAGACGAAAAGGAGGATGTCTTAAGTGTGGCAGAGTAGGCCAAAGCTGTAAAAAACTTCAGAAACCACAAGTAAGATACGTTGATGAACCTTCTTTATATTGTAATATAAATATATTTAAGAAATTACTAAAAGTTAGAAAAATTTATTCTTCAACATTTAATTAACATTGCATTTAGAGATTATGGGAAATGTAAAGCTGTAAATAGTTTAGTTATAGAAACTGTAATAACACATACTCTATATGAAATGCATAAGCGAACCAATATCTGTGTTCACACTGTACCTGATAACACTGTGATTATATCTAGTTTAATCGATAAGGATATTGTTTTAATATAAGTTATTCAAACCTGATAATTTTTTGATCAAAATAATCTTTTGAACTCTGTTTAATTTTCCCGCACATTGTTAGATGGCGCTGGCATTACTGTTTAAACGCGTTCTTATAAGAAATATAAATGTATTTAAAAGTAAGGCATGACTAATATTTTCAACTAATTAAATCAATTAATTTACACTGATGTAATATGCGTACTTCTTTTAGTATAAATTAAATATGTTTTTACACAATGGCTATATAATTGAGAATACTATTTAGAAATAAATTATGTGTTAATTTAATTGATGTAATATAAGTACTTTGTAACAAATAATTATTATTGTTATATTTTGTAGGTTGAATTAATACTAATCATAAATAATTTAGTAATGTTTGTAATAACCAATATTTTCTTACTATAATATAATGAATTAATATGAGAAGATTGCATCATTAATTTCTCCTTGTAGAAATGTCACATGTATCATTTAAATATCATGGCGGTAGAAACAATGTTACTTGTATTGTACAGTACATATGTTTGTAATATGTAAATTGCATCACATGTAAAACTAAATATTTTCTATATTATAAAATTTGAAAATTCTCAAAATTATAAATTTATAAATTCTCAATTCTAAAATGATATAATTGCCAAATTTTTTAATTTAATAATTTGTGTATCCTTAAAGTCAGATGTTTCTAAGTTACTAAATCTGTATAAATTTAAAAAATTCCAAATTCTCAATCTAAAATTTCTACCCTTACAAATTAAAAAATTTCAAATTCTCAAATTTCCACAGATTGGACCACAAACAAGAACCTGTTACATTGCTGTGATTCACATCCCTACAAGTAAAAAGCGACCACTATCACCCGTGCAATTAAATTCCTAATTTTTTCCGCATTCTTTCACCGGGTGTGATAATCTGCGCAAGCGTAAATCTTGGGCACGCATGTGTGCTCCACGTTACCTACAGAAGTTCCGTCCTGCGAGCGGTTCGAAGCGGACGCGCCATAAACCTTCTGGACGAAAAATAAAAAATTGTAACACTCGTCCGAAAAACTCGCTCGCATTAAATCGAGAAATTTAATGAAAACTCGTACGGCAGATAAACTTAAAAAAGAATAGACTTTAGAAAATTGGCAGACTCGAATGAAAGTGCGAGCTGCATCGCGTTCCAGCATTTTCTTTCACGAAATTTCTTTTGCACTCGTCGCAACCAATCACGCCAGTGACAAAGCATTTCGGAGCAGGCGATATGTCGCTGTTCGCCTGTTGCATGCGGCGGGTGAGTTTTGCCATTATAGTAAGCAGACTATCGCTTGATGTGATCCGTTTACATTACACGATACCGCACTTACCGATAATCGGATTGCGTCAAACTCCCACGCGATTCCTTTGTCAACATTGTTCTCCGGAACTGGAGATACTCAAACGAGGCGCCGCTGTTGGCGTGCTACCGTTCCTTTTGCGTAGTCCTGTTTAAACGGAGGAATATGTGAACTTGATTCTTTTTAGGTATATGTGATTTTTAGAACTTTTTATAGTGTTAAAAATTTGTGAATTTTTAGATATTTAAATTTAATTTTTAAGTTGGTGAGATTAAGAAGGTAGAGTTGAAAATGTTTAAGTATTGGAGTAATGAACAAATTTGAGTTATTAGCAAATTTTAGAGGGTTTTAAATTGCAATTGGAATTTGCAAAGAGGAAATTTTTAGCATTTGAAAAATCTGAATAGTGAAACTTGCAAGTTCTAGTATCTTCAGATGCATAAATTTTTAAGTTTGGAAATTATAAAATTAACAGATCACTGTATTTTTAAATCACTATATTCTCAAATCCCTAAATTTCTTAAATTCTGAATTTTCTAAATTTTTAAATTTCCAAATCACTAAATTTTGTTCACATTCTTAATTTTCTAAATTTCTCAAATTCTTAATTTTTTAAATTATCATATCCCTACACTAAAAATTCCCTAAATTCTCAAATTTAAAAATTCTGAAGGCCCTATACTCCCAAATTCCTAAACACTAAAATTTCCAGATTCTTCAAAAATTCCCAAATTCTTAAAAAAATCCCTAGATGTATCCTAATCTATCACAAGGCACAAATATCTAAATTCTCAAATTCTTAAATTTAGAAATTCTGAAGTTCCTATATTCCCAAATTCCTAAACACTGAAATTTTCAGATTTCTGCAAAACTCCTAAATTTTTCAAAAATTCCCTAGATGTATCCTAATCTACCACAAGGCACAAATCCCTAAATTCTCAAATTCTTAAATTTAGAAATTCTGAAGTTCCTATATTTCTAAATTCCTAAACATTGAAATTTCCAGATTTCTGCAAAATTCCTAAATTTTAAAAAAAATCCCTAGATGTGTCATAAAGCACAAATAGCAGTCGTCAATCAAATCTCCCTCCTTTTTCACGCCATTAAAAAGAACCTAATTATAATCATAAAATATTTATTTCCAAATAATCAACCCTTAGAAATAAAGATAAGATGTCCTTAAAAAAGTTGTGAATTCTTACACCAAAGTCCTACGCCTTATTACCTAATAATTCCTTAATATCTTCCCTTGATCTTATTTATAGCTCACTAAAAAGTAATAAAAAATATGTGGAAGTTATAAAAAAAAGTGGCAATGAAAAATGGGGTGGATTTTAGTTTTCTAAAATTCGATGGAGAAAGCTAGTCAATTGGAAGTAATTCGCGCTTAAAAATAACACGAACGTTGAAAATAATGTCAGGGATAAAAGCTCGCTATATTATCGTCTGTTTGAAAAAGAGCGGATTAGTATAAGTTCAAAGAGGAACTGAATTAAAAAATAAGCTACGCATCTGAAGATACTAAATTGCACTTCAATGTTATCGATTCAATATTTACGAAAGAGGAAGATCCTTAAAGAGAAAGAATCGCGACAAATATTTTCTTAACTTACAGAAGGGTATTTTTAGACTAGAGATTATTTTCACTTCAAAATATCGCTTTCAAGGATCTTTTTGTACGTCGATTTCAGACTTTAAAGTAAAATGCGAATATACTTGCGGTTTTTGCAAAATTAAATTGATTTAATTTATTATGGGAGTAAATATATTCACTTATTAAATTTATTTAATTTTATTTAAGTTGTAGTAATTTTTTTTATTTAATGTAATTATTACTAATTATCTTCTTGTATTTTGTAAGGTAGATTTTACAGAATTTTTTTAGTTCTTTACATTCACAAATTTATTTTATATTTTTATTACTCACCCTTATATTTTTTTTTTTAATATCTGAGAACATTTTATTTAAAACAGTACTTTCTTATTTTTTGCAGCATTGTACTAAAAGATACTTCGACTCAAAAGAAATTTTGAGACCAGAAAAATTTAAAAAAAAACACCCCTGTGAATTCAACGAACAAACTTTTCCACTTTCTATCCTTTTAAATAAAAAATTTCTTATTTCTTAAAAATTTCTTAATGTAGAACAACCCTTTAAAAGCTATCTAAGTACATCAACCCGAAAAAATTTCCAAAAAACCACCCCAGTGAAAATAAAAATTTAACAAAGCACAATCAAAGACCAAGATATTAGTCAAAAAATGTAAAACGAAAAAAAAAAGAAGAAATCGATTTTTTCCGTGGCTAGCCTTAATTCTTGCTCACCCCTGTCGTTCAGGTGGCAAAATCGGTAAACAGAAAAATGAAGTTAACTTCGCGTTACGGGGTTGACGGGGGATAAGGGAACGTGTCCGACGTAACTCGCTAGGGTGAACGGATACATTTTCCGCTACTTAACGGATTTCATGCTCAAGTGTCAAAGAGATCGCGTCCTTGCTCTAATCAGCGTCGTTTATTAATAGAGAAGGACTTTGGTTTTGAAAATTTTCTTAGAATCGTCGCGCGTTTGCGTTTCCCATGGGGAACTCGAAAAAAGTCCCGGTTAAAATGGCGGAGGATGTTCGTTAAAGTGGATGATATCTGTTAAATAAATATTTAGGTTTAACTTATGTTTAACATGTTTTGTATAAAACTAATTAATTAAGATGTCTTTTATATAAAACTATTTTATATGTTTAAGATGTGTTGTACAAAACTGTTTTACATATTTAAGATGTCTTGTATAAAATTGTCTTACATATTTAAGATGTCTTGTACAAAACTATCTTACATATTTAAGATGTCTTGTATAAAATTGTCTTACATATTTAAGACATTCTGTACAAAACTATGTTACATATTTAAGATGTCTTGTATTAAAGTATCTCACATATTCGTAAGCCATGAATCAATCTATATAAAAAAATATGCAATTTATTTTCAATGGTACGTCTGTTTCATGTGATAGAATCATCGAGGAATGGAGGAGGCACGGCAGCAAGCACTACTGAAGGAAGCACCGGAAATATCGTGGGAGAACACGCTGGGTGCACCGGACGGAGTACCCTTCGATGACGACACTACAGAACTGCTACGAAAATGCATCGATGTCTCCACACCGACACCCACGAACCTCGCACAGATCATCAAACGCAGCGAGGCTTTCCCTATCAATTTTCCAGTGAAAACGGTCAGATGTTCCAGTTTGAGAGATAGAGGAATTAGCACGGACATCCTAGAGGTACTTTCTTGGAATCTCTGATGGAGATCTGTAAAATCAAAAGTGATTTATATTAAGATTTATATTATTAATGAATTGATTTATATTATTAACGTATTATGAACATTATTATATTATTAACACAACCTGTATATTATAATAATGTTATTGCAATTTGTAGATGAACGCGAATTCGGTGTACCCCTTGATACACGAGGCGATGCTACCCCTACTCGCAAGATGGCTAAAGCACAAACGAACGCACGGTAGTGCCATCGAAAGAGCGATGTACCAAGACATGGGACTTGTACAGTTCATTCATAGATTGTTAGAGAAACGAGCCGTGCACTTTTTTGGAGCTAATGATAAGTGGAAGCTGATCGACGGGAAAACGGGAGTGCAGGGGTGGGAAAATGTCGGCACGGACCACGAAAAAGAACCCCTTGTTAGTATCACTATAATATTAAATAAATTCTATGTGTTATAGTTTACAACAGAGTCTGTTATAAGTATATTATGCTATATGTTATAATTTTGCTGGAATTTGTTGAAAGTAGTATTACATTCACCCTAAACTGATATGTGTATAATTCTGTTACTTGAGAGCAATGTAATGTTAATAGCATAACTCTATTACTTGATAGCAATGTATTAACATAATTCTGTTACTTGAAAGCAATGTATTAACATAACTCTGTTACTTGCTAACAATGCATTAACATAACTCTGTTACTTGATAACATTGTATCAACATAACTCTCTTACTTAATAACAATATATCAACATAATAATGTATCTACCAATTTTATGATGCAGGTTCTAACAAAATGTTTGTCATACGACGAAATCAAACTCTCCGCAATGGTAGCGATGTCTTCCCACACCGAATTCATCAACGACGGCTCCCGAGAGAACAGAGGCGTTGTCAGTCCCGATCCAGACTCCGTGCAACCCAGAGGAGTGATTATAGGTGTCGTGGGAACAAGGTTTTTTGTGCTCATTTAACGCTTATCGTTAACAAATGTTAATGTATCGACACAGTTTTATTTTCAACGAGGCCCATTGTTTTTTATCTTTACCGATATTGTTCGCAGATTCTCACGACCCCGCGTGATGGAGTATCAAGATATACTTATTACTCCTCTGCAAAACACCGTGGAGAATGGGTAATTTATTCTTTCTTTATGTATTGCGTACAGGGAATTTCTGTGAAAAGTTTCGATGGTTTTCAAGTTTACAAATTTTCAAAACTAAGTATGCTTTGCAAGTCTGTAAAATTTAAATTTTCAGATATATTAGAGCTCAATGTATTAATATTGTTTAATCTTTTGCATAGGTATGGACCGACAGCAACACCGAATTCGGAAGATGCGCACGATTTGAGGGTTGTATGGTCAAAATTTTATGGAGAAGATTATCATCCTCTGCACGAGGAAGCTGTGAAGCGGGTCAAATCGAAGGACAATAAACGGTACCTTTCTTTGTGCAATGAAACCATCTTCGACATCGAGAACTACATGAAGAGGACGTTGCTCACTGTGGAGATCATACTTCTGGAAGCGAATACTCGAGCTGAGAAACAAAATACAACTGCTTTCATACATGTTGTGGGCTTTGGTCTAGGTTAGCACCGAATGTATTAAATTATATTTTAATTCATAAACTGAGTATCAAAATTTAAGGATTTTATTTAAAAATTGTTTAAAGTTACTTTGTTAAAGTTCATTAATTTAATGTAAGTTTATTTACATTAAAATATATAATGTAAGTATATATTTTAACAACGAATGAAACTTTCAGGTGTATGGAGAATAATCCAAGATCAAGAAATCTACTTTTTGAAGACGTTCGAGATCGCCATAAAGAAGATGAACAAGAAGCTTAGATACGTGTCGGACATAATGTTCGCTTACTTCAATCAACAGAAATGCGGCGACGCGGGAAATGGCGACTATCTTGGAGGTTTGCTAGCAATATCGCATTCTTGCAACGTGCAAACAATTTATCCTCTACCTTTCCAGATATAAGGATTCACTTCGCCCTCAGAGAACCTCATAGCAAATTGTTCAGACCGACGGACGCTAACAAGCTTCTCGTGGTGACTTATGCTTGGGATGGAAACGCGTTACCAGGTTAAGTAATTAACACTCTGACTGCTAACTTATATGAACTCCAGAACTGAAGTTTTTCAAGTTTTTTTAAAAAGTAACAAGTGTTACAAATCTTGGATCAAATGTTTTACCTATGATACAAATTATTTACAAGTTATTTTGAATATGATAAAATTAATTTTTAATTTAGTACTGATATAGCAATGTAAGTCTTATTCCATGTTGAGTAATGTATGTTAGCTAATCAGATATACATACATTGAGTACTTGAAATTATAAATGATAGAAGTAATAATGTGTTAATTTTTCTTTCGTCCTTTTTGCAGGAAATGAATTCTGGTGCGGATATTTGTCATCGAGCGGCGATCCTGCAGCAGCTTGCAGCACTCAAATCGCAGAACTGCACACAGCCAGAATAAATCCTCGAGCTTGCGGCGCAAGTTTGCACGTTGCATCAGCGGCGCACGGTATTCTGCACATATCTGACTACGCGAAGCTACATCTTGCTTAGGTGAGCCATAGTCATTTGCTATTTACATGTGCATACCAATTACTTAAAAAGTCCCAAACATTAAGCAAAGATGCTTCTACACGTATCTAAAATGCGATGTGCTGTTTTATTTATTTTTATTTATTTATTTTTAGTCTTGGAACTTTGGGTCTTCAGAACTTTGGAAACTTTGGATTTGTACGTCTTCCACTTTTGGGATTTTGGCACTTGTGGCGGTTTCATTCCTATTTTTAGTGGCGTAGGAGTGAAACCGTCACAGAAATTTCTTTACAATTTTGGGAACTCGATAGTTCAGAATTTTGAACTTCGAGAAGGGATTTTTTAACTTTAATGCCTCTTTGGGAATTTTGTTATTGTGAACTTAAGCTTTGAAAAATATAATCTAAATGCAACGATGGAAATTGCATATTTTGTTTAATATTGGATCTAATCCTATTAACAAGTACATATCCTTTCCTAATGAAAATGACGATATGGTTTTGCACGACATAACTAATTTAGTATTCCTTCCACTACGACTTGATTCATTTGAGTGATAAATTGAGTGATCATAGGAGACCCATGCTAGCCTTTTGGGACTATAGGTAAATCTTAGATGAGTCTTTGCCTAAGGTCTTCATCTGAAGCGTACAAGCCATTTACCCTAAACTTCTTCTCATCTAAAACCTAGTAATAAGTTACACACCCCCGATAACCGTGCCCGTTTGCTTCCGGAAGCAGGAGAAGGCCTGCCCAGTGGGCACTGGTCAGCGAAGACCATCTCGATCTCCTCGCAGTCAAAGGAGTCGTAGCGCGGACGTAGACTGCCTGAAGAAATACACGGAGAGACGAGTGGAGGAGAGAAGACACACGGAGATCCCGGACACCAGCAAGCTGGATCCTTCGAGGTGGATCCCGCTACCGAAAACGATCGGGCGAGTGCAACCGGCGTTAAAGAAATCCCCGCAGTCGTCGAAGGACGAAGAGAAACGTCGTTCGATCACCGGCGAGCCCGACGAGAACGCGATCGACAAAACGATCGCGAAGAAATTGTCTCCTACGAAGGAGGAAGAAACGACGGCTGCAACCGCGGCGAGAGGAGCTGACGAGAAAAACGACAGCACGAGCGGAAGTCACAGAGCGACGGCCGGAAGGAGCCATAGCGCGGACGTTGGCCGCGTTAAGAACGAAAAGCTGATCGAGGAACGAAGGCATACGGAATGCAGCGACCCACGAACGATCGCGACGAGGTTGACAGAGCACATTTTCCTAGTCAAAAAGAAACCAATGCCGTGAACGAATCCGATAATGTGACGCTCTCGTAAGACCGTGATTAAAAAGTACCGAGACGTTCCGCTAAACTGTAATCTAGAGGTACACGTTAACTATGTTTGTCGATGCAAATTGTATATGTACATAGCAATAAAGTAATTCGATGTCCGGTCGTTGTATGGATAGAGATGTATAAATGGCACGAAAAAAAGATAGATAGAAAATACATATATGTATATGTACAGGTCTCGTTTGTTCGGTTATAAAAGCGTTGATTAACTGACCGTTTCTGGCGTTAAAAAACATGTATCCGTCTGTCTGAAGTTGGGTTTCTGATACCAAATAACTTTAGGTGGCTACCGCAAATTAACACCTCAAGGTTCCGCTACGACGCGTCACCGTTCGCGAGGATCAGCAACAGCTGCGAAATCACGAAAAACGCCGCGACCAGGTGGATGACGTTCGTCAAGAACCCGTCACCGTGTCCGATACCGCGAATGAACCCGGAAAGAAAATCTTCCGCGACCGACGCGTGTTGCGCGAACAACGGATCGCCCAAAGCGGTGAAAACCGAATCGCCAAAGTGGGAACCGATCAGAAAGTTCGCGCCTCCGCCGGCGAAGACGGACAAGGAACCTGGGCAGAAACAAGGTGAGGCTATTTGCATTTTTTATTATTCGCAATGATAGAGGTTTATTCTTTGGAAACTTCAACTTCCATTGATGAAAAATCTGTATTACTGACGGGTATTGCTAGCTGTGTAATTATAATTACTTGCATGTTAATCAATTGTGTATTGACGAGTGAATAATTGTAGATGAGACGGGATCGAATCGAGATTCACCAACGAAGCAGTCGCCTGACGCCAACGAGCAATCGCAACGACTCACCCAACGCATGAGAGATTTGTACGACTTCAAAACGGAAAACGAATGGCCGAAAAGGGCGACGAACGCTCGACGTGGTAACTCGTGGATTAGCAAAAGTAGCAGCGAGGAAGAGAAGAATAATCAGTCGATGCGGAGGAACAGTCAAGACTTGGAGTTTAATAACCGGTTTAATGTTATTAAGGTGAGGGTTAATTACTCGGGTAATCAAATAATTATGCTTATGATTAACTTGACAAGACTTAACACAACTTGATTTAATTTAATCTACGTTTCACATAATCATAACTCTGGTCTAAGTTAACCATCACTTAAATTGATATGAGTGGATGAAACTTGAACATGAGTTTAACTTAATCTAACCTAATCTAAATTAGCCTAATGCAACCTAACCTTAATTCCAAACTAACCTAATGTAACCTAACGTTAATTCTAAACTAACCTAATGTGACCTAACCTTAATTCTAAGCTAGCCTAATGTAACCTAACCTTAATTCTAAACTAGCCTAATGTAACCTAACCTTAATTCTAAACTAACCTAATGTAAGCTAACCTTAATTCTAAACTAACCTAATGTGACCTGACCTTAATTCTAAGCTAACCTAATGTGACCTAACCTTAATTCTAACCTAACTTAATCTAGTCCTAATTCTAACCAAATTTGATGCAAGATACCCTATTAAAATTAAATCAAGTCTAGGTAATTTAAGCTACTAACATTAACACACCACTACAGACCTAAGCAAGTAATTAATTTCCCCCAAAAAATTTCATCAATCTCTACAGCTGAAGGACACAAAGGTGCAGTCGGACCACCAAGACCCAAAACGACCACCGAAAAAGGACCCCGAGGTTCTAAACAGCGAATACGAAGAGCGTCTGCGTAAATTCAACGAAAGGCTGAGATTCAGCGAGGACCTAGGCGTAGTGAAACCGAAATTGAAAGAAAGACGAACGTTCTCAGACGATTACGAGGAGAAGACTCGTCGAGCATCGACGCGGTCCGCGCGCAGCGAGGCGTCCACGCGTCTCAAGCAAAAGTCCGAGGATTCGACGGAGAGTCGCTATCCGATCGAGAAGAAGAGGAGTTCGGATGCAAGCAGCAAATCCCGAGGGAGCTACGCCGAGGTGAATCCAGTGAAAAGGGATTCGAGGACCAGTGATGTTAGTTACGCGAGCATCAGTAATAGTAATGCGAAACGAGCGAGCGTGGATTGCAAGGGGAGTAGCAAGATGGTGGAACTTCTGCCGCGGAGAGCTTTTAGTCAGACGGAAGAGAGACCTTCGACTCCTGTGCCTCCTGTGGAATGGAACGACGATCGTTACGCGACTGCTCGTCTGAAGGAGATCTCTGAACGCCAGAAGAGGGACAGCACCAGATACAAAGTGTACCTTACCTAAGACACAGAGTAAACCAGAGGCGACACTCTGTCTTTGATCTCTTTAAAGCTGTCCCTTTAAATTGTACAAACGAGCGAGAAATTTCAATCGAGCAAATCTACTTCCATGTCAATCTCTAATAATTTGGAATATATTTGTAATAAATTTTCTGTATATTACTGATATTGTCTTGCGAGGTATTTTTATCAATTTTACGGCGGGGAAAAGTTGAAAAAGAAAAGAATATACCAAAATGATTGCTCTGCAAAATATATTTGAAGAATATGTTTTACGAAAATGATTATTACAAATAACTTCTAAGAAAATGGAAAACTATATATCACAAGAAATTACGGATGAATGTGTTACAGAGATACGACAAAATATTTATTAGAAATAAATTACTGGTGAATATGCAGGTTTAAACTATTCTTTTTCGACCGCCATACTTCTACACTATGCACGTGCGCACCCCCGATTCTTTTGATTTAGGCATTTAAATTGGTTGTGTCTGTCTCTCTCTAAGGGGTAGGTTCCTTGTCTAGTGTCGCCTCTCGTTATATCTACTCTTTGCCTAAGACCAGTTAATGTCCCAACTTATCACGAGGGTACAAAATGAACGACGATTTGTAAATTCGTGTTTCATCTTTTTTATTTTGAGACTGTTAGGAATTGTTGTAATAGCTCCTCTTTGACATGTTCGGTGTACAAATTTGTCGATATGTGTATCGTTCGTGATGGCAGTTTTGTATGCGCGATTTTGTAGACGGATTATACATGTTTTTTGTGGAGTTGGTACTTTGGAAGTTTGATGTAAGATTGAGGCTGTATGCATGGAGCAGATTAACGATGTACAAACGATGTAATACGATTTAACTAATAAAATATTCTTTGAGAAAGATGACAAGCGGTTCTCTTTGAGGAGATACATCTTTCTGTGATATATTGTAGGTTTAAACTATTCTTACAACCACCTTCTGTACTATGCCCATGCGCACCCCCGATTCTTCTAATTTGGGTATTTAAATTGGTCCTCTGTCTCTAGGTTTCCTTGTCTATTGTCTCTTGTTATATCCACTGTCCACAGGTTCGAAAAAATATGAAGTACCAAAACGAGTCAGTGTCTCATACCTACTCTCTGCCCCGATTTCAATCCCTCCGCAAATTGATACTCGTTAAACTTTCCAAACAACAAATTGTGTACGTGTCACTCATACGTATTAGTCAAGCGTTGTTACAGCAAGAGTAATTAATTAAATCCGCGTAAAAACCGTTTTAATTAAACTCATCGCTAACGAACCGTCTTTCCCTTCTGGCTCGAAATGCCATTTCGAGCGGTTTCCAACGATTTAGCGAAACGAACATGTCTCCTGTTCTATCCGGTGCAGAAAGCCAGCTCGTTTTCCAAAGGCCTTTCGAGCAGTATATCAACGATTTTTTTAAGTTACGTGAAACCTTTCGAAACGTTGCGCTTTTTCTCCATTTCCTTCGGTACGTAATATTAACAGCGACCTTTCGAACGCACGTGCGATACGCACAGTCCGCGTGATAAACCCGCGAATCGATCGAACGCGCGATTTTTATTGAATCGACGGTGAACGGTCGCCGATCGTGCACCTGCTTACTCTTCGGTGTTTCTTTATTTTATCGTGTTCTATGAGAAACGTACGGTTGAAAAGTACAGGTGAAAGTACTTTTCAAAAAAAGTTAAGTGATAGATTGCAATGTCTTGGTCGTTATATCGTGATCAATTCTTTGTATTTTTATATCGATCGCAATTTGATGTACGGAGGACTCTTGTTATATGACCATCAGTTATATTGTTCGTTGAGAGAGTTCTTGCAGAAACTTACCATATGTAAGTTATAGTGAAAGTACCATATTTAGTTATGGCGAAAGTACCATATTTAGTTATGGTACTTTCAGTGTTAATGTACCATATTTAATTATGGTAACAGTGTTAATGTACCATATGTAGCTATGGTAACAGTGTAAAAGTACCATATGTACCATAACTACATATGGTAGCAGTGTAAAAGTACCATATGTACCATAACTACATATGGTACTTTTACACTGTTGCATATGTACCATAACTACATATGGTACTTTTACACTGTTGCATATGTACCATAACTATATATAGTACTTTTACACTGTTGTAGAGTACTAAGAGATTTGGAAATCCCTAAATTCCCAAATCCCTAAAGCCCCAAATCCATAAGGTTTTAAATCCCTAAATTCCCAACCCTTAATTTCCCAATCCCTAAATTACCAACCCTTGATTTCCCAACCCCTAAATTCCCAAGTCCCTAAATCTTCAAATCTCTAACCCCCCATAACCCTAAATTTCCAACTCCCTAATTTCCCAACCTTCTAATTCCCCAAATCTCTAATTTCCCAACCCCTAAATTCCCAAGTCCCTAAATCTTCAAATCTCCAACCCCCCATAACCCTAAATTTCCAACTCCCTAATTTTCCAACCTTCTAATTCCCCAAATCTCTAATTTCCCAATCCCTAATTTCCCAAATCCCCAACTCCCTAATTCCCCATCCTCCCAATTCCCCAAATCCTTAAATTTCCAAATCTCAAAGACCCTTTTCCCAAAACCCAAAACTCACTCAACGCTACATACTACTTTCAAACAATTCAATCTATTACTTTCACAAAACTCATTTAAATCATCCTTAACAACCCCCTTCCCTCATTTATTTACGCTCGACGTTTCTAAAATCATTACGAAAACCCGAGTTCGAGTCCTTAACGAACGCCACTTTCACTCTCTTCCTCATAGGAACATTGTGCGAGGGTAAAACCTTGCACTCCCTGCTTTGTGCAGACTCTTCATCTTCTTTCTCAATCTTCAGCCTCTTTTGAGCACAGTTTGGCACGTTTCCATTGACAGTAGATGTATTACTTGTCGAGGTACCAGTCGAGGAACAATTCGTCAGAATACTTGAACTGGTGATAACTTGACCATTTACTTGAGGCGATTTTGGAAAACTCGAAGGTCGAACATTTGAAGAACGTGAGAGACTTCCGTTGTTCAAAGCTGGGGCTAATGGGTTTGGCGTTGAGGGCGTCACACTTCTTTTGTTGGGTATGCCGTGACCATTTGGTGCGATCATTAACAAATTATTTCCGTTTTTATCGCAAACCACCTGTGGACATTTTAGACAATTTTAGTTATCTAATAAAACAATAGGAGTTATTTAAAAAATATTTTAATAGTTAAAAGTAAAATATTATTAAAATTACAATACAAAATAAATTTAGGTATTTTATAAGTAATTGAATGTTTTAATTATTAACTAGTTTTTTGTTGAGAACTCATGTTAACTGAATTTTTTATCACAAAATTGAAGGCTTGTTTTTTAGACTTGTCTGAGTAAAGGTTAAAAATTTATTTTAATTACAGACTTCTTTAATTAAGTCTCAAGGTTCAAAGACTTTGTTAAGTGATATTTCTAATTAGGAATGAAAATTCAATTTTTAATAGAGCCATGTCAAAGATTACTTTATTATTAGACTAGAAGAATAAATCATTACATGTCTGTTTTTTTAAAATCAATAAAAATTGAACAGAAACTAGATTTTTATTTTTGAGTATAAAAGGTTACGATGAACGATTGAAAATTAAACATCATTAATTAAAAATTAAGCAAGCACTCTATAAAAATTCTTAATCAGATTACTTTGAATTAAAAATTGATTATCAATTTTCAATTGAAAAATTTGATCAACAAAAAAATAAAAAAAAAATAAAAAAATTTACTTACAAATAAATTAGTACAAATATTAATTGTTAATTAGTGTTTAAGTGAAGACTTCATTACCTTACCTGTGAACCAGGATGCTGCAACAGTGTCTGTCCAGAAAAATTCGTCCTATACGCATGATTTTCATTTACTTGTTTCTCCTGCTTCAGCAACGAAGATTTTGCGTGATATATAGCCGAATTTTGATTGAACGTAGGCTCGCACTTAATTCGAACTTCATGATGCGTGATTTCGCTTCGATCCTGCGCCTTTTGCCATTCGAGGACGTTGCTTAACAGCCTAATATACCTGGAGAATAATTTATAAAGTGTCACACCTTAATTTATCACACTTTAATTATAATTTATAAAGTGTTCTACCATTGTAAATTTTTAATTTATAAATCTTCTAAAATCGATGTTTAAATAGGTGAATTTACCTGATCGCCATGCGAAGGATTTCATTTTTGGATAATTTTTTGTCAGGAGGATGTGTAGGTACTAGTTTTCGAAGTTCAGCGAAGGCTCCACTGACGTTTTGCTGCCTCCATCGTTCGCGACTGTTTGTGAACAGTTTTCGGACTCCTAGAGTGCCTACTCGGGGCGTGGGTGAGCCCAGGTGACCGCCACCGGAAGAGGAAATGCCATCTAGCTATGAAATTATTGCCACTTCTCTTAAAAATTATCGTTCGAGGTAAAAAAGAACGTTGTTCTTGGGACTTCATTTCCAAATTAACCCTTCGTGCTCAAGATGTGACCAGTCAATGACCATAAAAACTTGCAAATTCTCAAACATCCACTAACCACAATTTCCAAATTTCTAAAGATTCCCTGCTCAATATTTCCAGATTTCCAAGCATCCCCTATTCAATATTTCCAAATTCTTAAACATTCCCTACTCAAACTTTCCAAATTGCCAAGCATCCCCTACTCGAGCTTCCCAAATTGCCAAGCATCCCCTACTCAAACTTCCCAAATTCCCAAGCATCGCCTACTCAATATTTCCAAATCCCTAAACATCCCCTACTCAAATTTCCCAAATTCCCAAGCATCCCCTACTCAAACTTCCCAAATTCGCAAACATTGCCTACTCAAACTTCCCAAATTCCCAAGCATCCCCTACTCAAACTTCCCAAATTCCCAAGCATCGCCTACTCAAACTTCCCAAATTCCCAAGCATCCCCTACTCAAACTTCCCAAATTCCCAAGCATCGCCTACTCAATATTTCCAAATTCCCAAGCATCCCCTACTCAAAATTCCCAAGCATCCCCTACTCAATATTTCCAAATCCCTAAACATCCCCTACTCAAACTTCCCAAATTCCCAAACACCCCCTACCCTAAATTTCCAAATTCCCAAACTTGTCAAACCTTAAATCCGCAACTTCCCTAATTCCAAATCTACCTCCGCCCCTCCGCAATCTACCCCCTCAAACTTCCAAACAAGAATTTCAAAATTACCATACTTCGTTGCTATCTAACTACAACGTCACCCTCGCAGAATGAATAGAACAAATAACCAAATCCTCGCATCATAACCAACTTAATAAAATATCAAATTAATAAAATTTTTCGGACTGACGAAATTGTAATTTTATACAAAAATGTTGCTCACGGAATTAATGCGATCTCTTCGTTTCTTGCCTTGATCCTCGTCCTCGTCGGTATCGTGCGAATAAAACTCATCCGAAAGAGTGGCCTCCTCTTCTGTATCCCTTGGTGTACCTGGTGAATCTCCAGCTTCCTCCGGAAGTTCTCCTTCGGCCGACAAAAGCGAATCTGCCGGGGAACCATTCTCGTTGTCTACCGTTCCGGTGCAACCATTGTACGTCAGCATCGACTGTAATTTACGAATAACACTGGATCTGCTACTACTGAAGCAAATCATTCGAATCTTTGAATCATTCGAAGCTTTGGTTACTCATTTAATTATGTATAGAGATCGCGGATGATTGATTTAACTTTTCACTGAATATTCGGAGGTTCAAGTGACACGATTAGATGTCGGTGACAAAAGACGCGGGAAATCTGCAGTTATCGGAAATATAATGACATAGCGCCAACAGGATGCTGCTATCGCACCCTCCATTGTCCCTGACATTCAACAGATATGCACTCGTTTCAGAAATTTACAGGAATTCAACTTTTTTGTCTTTTTGTCAGTTTTATTATATTTGATGAAACTCAATCTGTTGTACATTTTTTAGAAAATTCTTTTTTGAGTTATTTGTTAGTTGCATTTAATTCAATTTAAGTATGAAGACAATCAATTAATTCAATTTAAATATCAAGATAATCAATTAATTTAATTTAAGTGTCAAGACAATCAATTAATTTAATTTAAGCGTCAAGACAATCAATTAATTCAATTTAAGTGTCAAGACAATCAATTAATTCAATTTAAGTGTCAAGACAATCAATTAATTTAATTTAAGTGTCAAGACAATCAATTAATTCAATTTAAGTATCAAGACAATCAATTAATTCAATTTAAGTATCGAGACAATCAATTAATTCGATTTAAGTATCAAGAAAATATATTGAAAATAATAATGACTGACATGTGATAACATTTTAATCTTAGCAATATGTTAAATTGAACCGATAAAAGTAATTATAGATGTGTTTAATTAAAGCGATAAAAATAATTATGTATTTGTATGCATTTAAACTGATAAAAATAATATACTTAATAGAGTTAAAGTCAAAGTAATTATTATACTCAAACAGATAACAGTAATTCAAAATATATTCACTTAAACAAAAACAGCAATTAAAAATACATTCACTTAAACAAATAACAGCAATTAAAAAAAAATTCACTTGACCCAATAACAATTGCACACATATTCGATTAATCACCAATATTCAATAAAAATACAAATAATCTTATGATCACTAAAAAAGAATATACTAACAATTTATCCAAGTAAAATAAAAAAGGTAGCAGCACAAAGTTGATCGATTCCCAGCACAAAAGCCCTTACCATAATAAAAGTCAAGTATTCGCGCACATTCACGGTCTTAACGAAACAATAACGATTTAAGTTTATTCAGAGGGACACTTTCCCGGACAGATTTGACCCGGGTTACGATAGTGGCTTGTTAAACCGACTGACGAGAGCAGACGGGACGATTTGACTAATAGTAAGCACGATACAACCCCCGGGAAAATGAATTTTGCGAAGGCGGAGCGCAAGCCTCATGGGTGGAGCTCCTCTCTGGACCGTCCCATACTGCTGCATGCGTAGCATCCCTTCAGACACCCTTAGGTCGCTGTTAAACCCCGGTGACCAAAAAAATATCGATTTTATATACTGTATGTCGGAAAAGTAAATGAACTTTTTAAAGGGGGTAATACTTTTAGACAGATGAAAATAAGCTGATATTTGTGAATTTTTTTTTATAGAACATCTTTGTTTTGCATTTTCGAAATTTCAGGTATAATTTATTATAACTATTGCCTATTACGGAATATTTTCTGTTTTGCAAAATATTTCAAAATGCCGGAATTATGACAATCCTTTCTGGAAGTGTTTTGCCGCGTCTCGTGAATCGGCGTGGGTTCTAGCTTTAGATATATTGGTCTGAAGCAAGTTTGCAGACAATGTTTCGAAAACTAACATTCACAGTTAGTAGATGAACCTCAGAAATGTGCAAAATATGTAAAATTGAAGAAATGGAAGAAAAACTTGAAGAAATGGCTTTTAAAGAAAAACTTTGAATTTTATTGAAAATTTTTGCAATGTTTTGCAATAAAAAGGACTTTAATGTTCAATTTATTTCATACATTTAGGTTCATATGTTAGATAGTATTGTCATGGATATGTGCAAAAATTTGAGCGCGATTGATAAACTAGTTTTTGAGTTATCAGCCACGGCAATCTTAAGAACGTAGTTTTGAGAAAAACGCGTTTAAAGTTTCAGTCCTCCGCACTGAACGCGTGTATACCCGCGGCGCTAATCGGCCATAACTTCAAAAAGGCTTCGTATTTCACTTGAAAATTTTGAGAATATTTTTAAGACGTTACACTAACATTTTATAGAAAAAAAAATTTTGTAATTTTTCAAGATTCTAAAGGTATTGCCTTTCTTAAGTGACAATTGAGCAAGTGAATTGTCTAAAATGCTACATTCCTAAAATTTATGTCCTTAAATGTTCAAGGCTACCCAACTATCAAGATTCCTAACAAACTAACTTTTAGTTCTGAGACTCTTTTGAGACTTCCAAAGATGAAATTAAATTGGCTCCCACGCAGATTCGTCGTTAATAGCGCTCGAATGAACACGATCTCAGATTATAATCATTTAATCGGGATCGTACGATGACACTCTCCCCTTGATTCATCCCCTTGGAAAATCTATACCACCCTCCGGAGGTGTCACAATAAAACAGCTCGTGGATGGTGGCCACTTGACAACGGCTACGGATATTCTCACCCCTAATGTATATTAAACAAGGCTCCCTTTTTTCGTACACCTCGTCCCCCGTTGACTTTGCGGACTGGTGCTAATAAGAATCTAATTGGTTGGGAACGTTGAAAATAAAAAATATTGAAATTAAAAAGGAATTAACTAATAGAAATTATTAATACAACCATTTTTTTTATTATTTTATTATAGTATTGATTTACTTTTCCATTTTTGTGAATTATTATAAATGTCTATTTTCCTGAATCTCTATTTTTTTAGATGCAAATTTCCCTAGATTCAAATCTCTCAAGGTTCAAATCTCCCTAGATTCAAATCTCCCTAGATTGGAATCTCTCAAGGTTCAAATCTCCCTAGATTGGAATCTCTCAAGGTTCAAATCTCCCTAGATTGGAATCTCTCAAGGTTCAAATCTCCTTAGATTCAAATCTCTCCAAATCCAAATCTCCCCAGATTGAAATCTCTCAAGGTTCAAATCTCCCTAGATTGAAATTTTCCTAGATCCAAATCTCCCCAGATTGAAATCTCTCAAGGTTCAAATCTCCCTACATTCAAATCTCCCTAGATTCAAATCTCCCTGGATCCAAATTTTCCTAGATCCCTATACTCTGTCCCACTCAAAATCCTTACATGCTGCCTTCCTATTTCCCCAGATTTACCAGCAGATTTATAGATTCTTTGCACACCCATATCCCCAAATCAAATAATAAACCATAATCCTAGTAAATGTTTGAAAAATGATAGAACACTATGCAAAGATATTAATAATGACGTAGTTGATTACAGAGATAATCTCGTGTAGAATTATCATAGATTATCGATGCAACAGCTACTTTAGATTACAGTTTTCTTCCAGCGATTATATTACATTTATTCGTCCCAGACATGTTTGAACAGTCTCCGTGTAATCGTACTAGTTAAATCAATTCTGTTATTTATATAAAACGATTGACTCAAGCAGGAATGTTACAGCAAACAGCTATTGTCCAATATGAAAGAACACTATTCCAGTTAGTATGGCTTTTGATAAGGGTGCTGATTAGATAAGACACGCGTCGATATTCTTTGCCGTTTAATTGTACGGGAAGCATTTTCGAAGCTGATGTTAATGAGATGAAACAGGAAGAAGGTGGAGACAGATTTAGTCACGAGAATACTCGTTTAGAGTTTACAGATAACGGAGAAACATTTTTTGTTTCAACCACGAAATTAATAATTATTACACGAATAAAAAAATAAAAACTTATAGACAATTTTAATTTTAATTTTAGTAAAAGAATCAAAACTTATAGTACAGTATGATTATAATACTGTACTGCTCTTGTGAAAAATAATTTAAAAAATATATTAAGGGATTGTTTTTGTATAAGTTTGATCTTTTCTCAGTCAAAGAGATTTAAGACCAGCAATTTTTTTAATACCACCATTAAAATCTCGCCTTTTAAGTTTATCGACACCTTAATCTGGAAATAAAAGGCGTATAAGCGACACGTGCGTCAGCCTTGAATGAAGTCACGTGCCTTCATACGTAATGTGCCATTCGAGGGGTGACTTTTTTCCGATCTTGGCTAATCCGTTATTGCGACCACATAGGATGTGTGATGCCTCTGTGGCAGAGGATGTGGTAAAATTTGGATAAATATTAAGTATTTCATTTTAGTTATCGAGATATTCATCATGCAATTATCAAGATATTCATAGTTGTTTATTAATTATGTCAAGTACCATGTGTGTACTTAATGTGAATGTGAAGTGTTTATGAAAATATGAAGATAATAGGGTGGTAGACTTCTTAGAAATATTTCAGTGGAGACATCATTGATTTTTTTTAAATAACTTCCCACAGAAATATTATTATGTATATATCATATATACACATATAAAATGTTTATGCATATGAAATATTTATGAGAATATGAAAATAATGGGACTTAGAATGACTTAGAATTTGTAATATTTGAGTAGAAGCATAATTGAAATTATTTTTGAAAATAATTTGCCACAGAAATATTATTATGTACATGTGTATTACATCTATGTTTCTAAAAGGAAAAATATCAATGTAAAAATCTAACATCCGATGATCGTAAAAATAATTTATAAATTAATTATTAAAAAACTCGTTACATTTAACTTGATGTATAAATTTTACTTGATGAGTAATTCCTAAAATTCACCCATAAAATTCAAAATTTAACTACAAATATTGATACCTCCACAATTATTTATATCAAAAATTGATTTTAAAAAATGCATCCTTAAAAAGATGCATTTTCACAGGAAAAGTGAAACGTGGATTATGAACAAAGTGAAAATAAAATAACTATTATTCGAAATTGAAAGAAATATGAGAATTTCGATGAATTCCCATGGGATGAACAAAAGCACCCTAAAAAGTGGTTCGGGGTGGGTTTTGTAGCGGTTTCCCACAGGTTTGCCAATATACAGCTCAATTTGCGCGTGCCAACGAATACGCATTAGGTATTAGCATTATCTTCGTGAAATATACTCTCGTGGTCATTAAATCATTGATAACACTTTCTATTCATCACTGTCAACTACCTTGTACTGTACGTAATACAAATTCTGTAAAAACAATTTTCTTTCTCAAATATTTGTTCCGGATATTGTACGTAACTCTTTCTTTAATAGAAAATATGGTCATAATTTTATATGCTTTATAGCAGTCTCAAGAGTGACTTTACAATTTTTAATTTTTTAGATTTTTTAGATTTTTGTTTAAATTAGGGAATTTTTTGAAGTTTGAGGATTTTGGAGATTTTTGGAACTTTGAGAATTTTTGGAATTTTGAGGATTTTGGAGATTTTGGGAATTTTTGGAATTTTGAGGATTTTGGGAATTTTGAGGATTTTGGGAATTTTGAGGATTTTGGAGATTTTGGGAATTTTGAGGAATTTGGTGATTTTTGGAATTTGTTGAATTCTTGAAATTTTTAGAATTCTTGGAACTTTTTCAATTTTTGAAGTTTTTTGTATTTTTGAAGTTTTGGGGATTTTATGGAATTTCATAGACTTGAACTATTGACATTTCTTGAATTTTTAACTTTTATAAATCTAAAAACTGAGTTTATAATTTTTGTACTCTTAGAACTTTAACACTTCAGAACTTCTACATTTTTGAATCTCCAAATCTTTCAATTTTTGAATTTTGTCAAAACTCCTACACATCAAATCTCAAAAGCTCTGAATACTTTGAAGCATCAAGCTCTAATATTGTACTCCCTAAATATTTTAACTTCATAACTTACAAAGTATCAAGCTTAAAAAAATGTCCATTTTCACAATTAACATAAAACATTTCGTTACTCACCTTAACATTAACACCCTCACAGTACTTCCTTACTATAAACCCAAATAATGTTCCGGAACTTGAACAATTACCATCTCGATAAGAATCGCACGTGGAAAACAAACACTAATAATTGGATTAATATGGGGCGGCTGGTTGACGGCGATAACGAAAATTGATTTCACCCTCGTGCCCCTCCGCCCACTTTGCACCCCATGCTCGTTGTGCTCCTCAGCCTAAACCTGGTATGGGGATTCTATTTGAACGCGTTGACGTTTCATGGGACACTGCGCAAACCCGACGACACGCCTCTTTTCTATTGCCACAGCTTGCACACAATAATTCTTATACGCGATCGACCATATTCCTTTCCCGTTACTTTTTTCATGCCACTGATCTCCCGTCATAATTTGATACATCAGTAGCTTTCATGGTACTTGCGTGATACTTTCAAACTTATTTATGAGACACAAAAATTTATTGCATGATAAAGATTTTGTGTTTCTGGTGCTTTTGGAATTTGGGTGAGGATTTTGGGAGGAGTTTTGGAAATTTTTGAGAAATTGGGGATTTGGGAATTTGAGGGTCTGAGAGTTTGAGAATTTGGGAATTTGGGAGATTGGAGATTTAAGAGATTAAGATGATGGAGGGTGAAAATTTGAGAATTTTGGAATTACAGAGATTAAAAATTTAAAGAGGGAAAATTTGAGAATTTGGAATTTAGAGAGATAAAGATTCGAAGGGTGAAAATTTGAGAATTTTGGAATTTCAGAGATAAACAATTTAGAGGGTGAAAATTTGAGAATTTGGGAATTCCAGAGATTGGAAATTTGAGGCATTGGAAATTTGAGAGATTGGAAATTTGAGAATTTGGAAATTTGAGAGATTGAAAATTTGAAAGATTGGAAATTTGTGAGATTGGAAATTTGAGAAATTGGAAATTTGAGTGATTGGAAATTTGAGAGATTGGAAATTTGGGAATTTGGAAATTTGAGAGATTGAAAATTTGAAAGATTGGAAATTTGTGAGATTGGAAATTTGTGAGATTGGGAATTTGAGGAAGTGGAAATTTGAGAGATTGGAAATTTGAGAGATTGCAATTTTGAGAGATTGGAAATTTGAGAGATTGGAAATTTGAGAGATTGGAAATTTGAGAGATTGAAAATTTGAAAGATTGGAAATTTGTGAGATTGGAAATTTGAGAAATTGGAAATTTGAGTGATTGGAAATTTGAGAGATTGGAAATTTGAGAGATTAGAAATTTGAAAGATTGGAAATTTGAGAAATTTGGAATTTGAGAAATTTGGAATTTGAGAAATTGGAAATTTGAGACAGAGGGTGAAAATTTGAGAATTTGGAAATTTAGGAAATTAGAAATTAACAAACCTAAACCTTGCAAATTCACTTAATAAATCAAAACCTTCCAAACCATCATTCTATAAAAAAATATTCTCCAAATTAATAATCATGTAAAATATTGAAAACGCCCTTGTATCTAAACCACCCTCTATTTGTCCTTTTCCAGAGAAATCATACCAGAGTGGAGGGTAACATTTGGTCTGAAAAATTCATTGAAACTACGGAGACTGCGCGTAACCAGGAGTGTTCGGTGCTGATAAGGGTTGCTCCGCCCTGAAAAGCCTCAGGAGCCATCCTGTCGCACCCCCTCGACCATAGAATCGCAGGGTCAAGTTGTCGGGAGGCTCTTGCACTGACACGAAGTATTAATCTGACGGATTAGGAGGACAGATAGGACGGAGATCAATTTTTAAGATGTTCAAAGGCGGTAAAGGATTAGCTCAGCTTCTTAATTAGCATCGTTTTTGTCACGCTACTTTTTCGCTCGAGACAATCTCTTTACAAACTTTTTAATTGCTTCTATTTCGGTAGAGATGGTTGATTTTTAGAGCTTATCTCTTGTTTGCGAGTGAGGTATATTAAGTGTGGGTAGGTGATTTTGAAGTGTTATTTGATTTATGTTGGAGTGATAGGGATAGTAGTAGTAGGAGTTGTAGTTGTAGTTTTTATATTATTATTTATATTATTTTATATTATTATATTATGTAGTATTATAGTCTTTATACTTTTGGAGTTTTTATGGTATTATAGTCTTTATAATATTAGAATTTTTATAGTGTTATTATAGTCTCTATTATAGTCTTATAGTCTCCATGCTGTTATTTTCTTTATATTATTGTAGTCTTCATACTATTGGAATTTTTAGGTTACTATAGTCTTTATACTATTGGAATTTTTATAGTATTATAATCATTAGACTATTATAGTCTTTATGTTGCTATTTTCTTTATATTATTATAGTCCTCATACTATTATAATTTTTATATTACTATAGTCTTTATACCATTGGAATTTTTATACTATTATATTTTTTTGTACTATTGTAGTCTCTATGCTGTTATTTTCTTTATATCATTATAGTCCTTATATTACAGTTATAGTCGTTGTTATGATCTGTATATTATTATAGTCTTTATACTACTATAATTTTTGTATTACTATAAACTTTATACTATTATAGTCTTCATACTATTATTTTCTTTATCTTCATACTATTATAAAATTATACAAGTCTTCATACTATTATAGTCTTTACATTATTATAATCTTTATACTCTTACAGTCTTTATACAACAATTTTCTTCATACTATAACAGTCTCAACTATTATAGTGTTCATACACGTATAGTCATTAATTTATAGTCAATTTGTATCATGTTTGTATCTGTTTGTGCAGTCTGAACTATTATAGTCTTCATGTATAGTCTTTCATCTATAGTCTCTTTGTATCAAGTTGATTCAAAATTGCATCCTAAATAAACACTTCCGCAATTAACACATTAAATCAATTTTTATACAAGGTATTAAAATAAACAAACATCAAATGTGACATAATAAATTCTTTTTTATTGAAAATATAAATGCCCATAATTTACAAAATTAATTACAATAACGGAAAAATATTTCCAGTAGCGAGATGTAATGATACAATAAATTAAAATTATATAGCAAATGAAACATTTAGCGATAACAAGATAATTATGAACCTATAACAATCTTCATTATGTGATGTACGTGATTTCGATCAACAGCGTTTAATACTTTCGCGTGTAAATGGAATATTTCTTTCGACGTAGAAAATTAATTGATCTGTTATAAACACTTGATTAAATTCGACCAAGAGACAGCGGAATTACGTCATTTATTGGATGATATAAAAGTCAACAACGAACGGATAGACACTCTATATATTGATAACGAAAGAAAAAAATCTTGTTACTCGTTGACGTAAAAAGAGTATCGAACGGTCCTAATCTATATTAGTGTATCGCAAACAACTTATACGACCAATCTATAAAGCGTATTTTAACACAATCTTGTATTTTTACAGCCGACAGACTATCACATGATTCACTTATACCTAGACTGTCATTATTTTATCTTTCGCTTAATTTTTGGAGGAAATTTTTAATCCATTAATGTGGAGACGTGTAAACTTTTTGATAGTTATTTTATTTTTTCATTTTTTTGGGGGTGGGGGGGCGTGTATTTATAGGGGTTAGTTTTTATGTTTCTGAATGAGGACATTTTTTATTTTGAGAATTTGAAATTGAGGATTTTTGGGGTTGGAAGGGAGTGTTAGAGAATTTGGGGATTTAGACAGTGGGGATTTACAAGTTGGGGATTTAGAAAGTCGGAAATTTAGAAGTTGGGGAATATAGAAATTGGGGAATTTAGAAATTGGGGGTTTAGAAGTTCGGGAATTTAGAAATTTGGGAATTTACAAGTTGGGGAATTTAGAAGTTGGGAAATTTAGAAATTGGGGATTTAGAAGTTGAGGAATTTAGAAGTTGGGGAATTGAGAAATTTAGGAATTTAGAAGTTGGGGAATTTAGAAATTTGGGAATTTAGAAGTTGGGGAATTTAGAAGTTGGGAAATTTAGAAATTGGGGATTTAGAAGTTGAGGAATTTAGAAGTTGGGAAATTGAGAAATTTAGGAATTTAGAAGTTGGGGAATTTAGAAATTTGGAAATTTAGAAGTTGAGAAATTTAGAAGTTAGGGAATTTAGATGTTGAGGAATTTAGAAATTGGGGAATTTAGAATTTGGGGAATTTAGAATTTGGGGAATTTAGGAATTTGGGGAATTAGGAGTTTGGGGATTTAGGAATTTGGGGATTTAGGAATTTAGAAATTTAGAAATTTGGAAATTTAGAAACTTGAAAATTTGAAAACTTGAAAATTTAGAAACTTGAAAACTAATAAATTAAAAATTTAGAATTCTATAATAAGTCTCCCTATAACCCCCCCGCTCCACAAAAATAATAACAAAACAAATTAAACCCACAAGTTCAACCACATAAAACAGTGCCATATACCGAGACTCCGCAATCTTCACAACTATAAAACTAATACATCATAAGAATTATTCTCCTCCAAGAATTAATAGATTAAAACCTCCTCCGCAATCACAGTAACCAGCAAACCTTACAATCGATTTTTCAGCCGCCAATTCAAATACTGTTCAGCCATCGTCATCGTGACAGTGCTTTGTCTCGTACGCCTTAAAAGCTAAATAATATTTACATTCGATGATCGTCGCTATCATGAGATCTGAATACTGTTCTTCGTTCTATGCTGATCCAGCTCAGATATCAGTGAAACGCAAATACGAGGATGAGCAAAGGAACCGATATGATGCACAGCAAGTAAACAGATGTTCTAGGCTCGCACGTTGATACGACCACGTACTCTTCGTTCCATTGTGAATCATTACCGCTTAATGGTAGTTCGAAGACTGTTCTCTGGTTGCTGAAAATTTTGAACGGCAACGAACACTCGGTTGTGCTGTTTTTACAGGCGTGTACCGGGTTGGAGATGTTGTAGACTGTTTTCAGGAGGTCGAAACGAACGCGGAGGAAGTTAGGTTGGATCTCGTTCTCGGAGTTGAATACGAAGAAGTAGTATCCGTTCGTTGGTACTCTATAAAGTAAAATAGTTGTGATTTTTAGGGGTATATTTTTTTAATGCGAGTTTTATAACCTAACGGGTTATATGTACATATGACTATACATATGACACATATGACAGTATGTATTATACAGGGTGTCACAGTTAGTGTAGGTCCCTGAAATGGGGGGTAGCTGACGTGATTCTGAATAAGATTTCCCTTTGCAAAAATGGGATTTGTTCACGATCGCAGCAGGTTCGAAGCCATCACTACCTGAGTGTTTTTCCTTAATAATTCAAAAACGAAGCTTCAGACCGAATTTTTGCAAAGGGAAAAGTTGTTCAGAGTCTCAAACCCCATCAATTCCGAGAGTTACATTAGTTGTGAGACACCCTGTATATGGAAATGCACTTCCACATGACGCGTGGTCGATTTTAATGAAAAGTTTGCTTATGTAGTTCTGGTTCTGTAAAGGAAATGTAGTTTTACTTATTGTTGGAGTATTTAGAATTCTTTGTGAGTTGAAAGAGATGTGACGTAGAATTTATTTATTTATACGTTTATTTAGTCATTTAGTTAGTCACTTATTTACTGGCTTTGTGGACATTTATGTAGTCATTTATTTAGTCATTTATGTAGTCATTTATGTAGTCATTTATGTAGTCATTTATGTAGTCATTCATGTAGTCATATACTTAGTCGTTCAGATAGTCATATATTTAGTCCTTTAGTTAGTCATTTGGATAGTCCTTTATTTAGTCCTTTATTTAGTCCTTTATTTAGTTCTTTATTTAGACCTTTATTTAGTCCTTTATTTAATCATTTATTCAATCATTTAGTTAATCATATATTTAGTCACATCTTTATTCATTTATTTATTCCTTTAATATAATCAAACATTGTTAAACACGACCAAAGGCTCATTACCAGAATAACGTTATCATTAAAAAAAAACATTCGCACGTCAATAAAAATAATCACCAATGAATCAAAACACTCGAGTCACCAACCTTTTGTTACCATACAAGAACATTTCCCACCGTCTGGTAAAAAACTGTTCATATCGGAAATTGCCTATCTACCTACTTAAAATTAAAAGCGTATCTCTTCTTATCTGTTTCAAGGGTTCATCAATATTTATAAACCTGTCTGCGTACCTGTAAGTAACCGTGTTGGCGAACGAAGCTGTCGAATGTTCCTTCTCGTGTTTCGGCGTACATTGTCGATGCGGAGTCAAAGGCAGATTCAGGATCAGACCTTTGCAATCCAGAAGTCGTTCCTCGGAGCTGCTGAAAGAACTCCAGAACTCGGAGTTGCTTCTGTCGTTCAGGGTGGTCTCGTTCACCGTGCCTCTGTCCTCGGCTATTCCATCTGGGTTCAACATATCCTAATGTACCGACGGAAACAACAAAGTGAAGAAACGGTTATAGTATCTGCATTGGGGTTTCTGGGGGTTTTGGGAATTTTCAAGGTTTTGGAAGGTTTGGCGATTTGAGATTTGTGGATTTGGGGATTTGGAGATTTGAAGATTTGGGGATTTGGGGGTTTAGAAATTTAGGAATTTAGGGGTTTAGAAGTTTATGGGTTTATGGGTTTATGGATTTAGGGGTTCAAGGGTTTAGGGGTTCAAGGGTTTAGGGGTTCAAGGGTTTAGGGGTTCAAGGGTTTAGGAGTTCAAGGTTTTAGGAGTTCAAGGGTTTAGGGCTTCAAGAGTTTAAGGGTTTAAGGGTTTAGAGGTTTAAGGGTTCAGGGGTTTAGAGGTTTAGGGATTTAAGGGTTTAGGGGTTTAGCATTATAGTGATCTAGTGATCTAACTAATTAGAAATTTTTTAAAATCTAAATCCATAAAAATAAAACAAATTTGAAAATTTAATAATTTAGTGAAAGAATTTGCAAGTTATAAAATTCCAAAGCTTGTACACTTATATCTCCAATAACTTTGTACCCATAAAAACAACGTCCCATCTTCGAATTTCTAAGTAGAATCGTGTTAAGTAAATACAAAGATTGCCTCGGAAATACCTCTGATAAGAATTGCCGATGAGAATCTACGATTAAACGTCGGATATCATATCGGACAATTAAAGTGACTTACTAGTCTTTAACGAAGACAATGCAGGCTTCCGAGATATCTAACCGGTACGATAAATCGGTGATTACGATCTACTAAATACGATCTCTTATCGCCGATTCGCTTGACGTCAATGTATTTACAGAATCACGTTATGCGCTTTAATTCTTGCACCTCGTTTGCAACCGAACTAATTTCATCCAACGATGATTCAACCATTAAACAACGATCTCATGACGACGAAGTTTCATCCTTCGTTTGATCTTAGCTCTCAGGCCTTATCGCGATTTAACAGCCTATGCAGCTGTTTTTCTTATCATCGGTGAAAATTTGCCGTTACCAGCTCAAACGGAAAAGTTTCCGGGATGTCATGATGCTCAAATTTTATGTTCATAATCGGCGACAATACGGTATTACCGAAGAGATATAACAAGGCAAGAAAATCTACCTCTTAGAGAGAGACTTTTTGAAAAGTGCTTCTACCTGTACTTTCCGAAGCAACAAGTGCAATATAATACAGAAAGATGTATCTCTTCAAAGAGAACCGCGTGTCATCTTTCTCGAAGAATATTTTATTAGTTAAATCGTATTACATCGTTTGTACATCGTTAATCTGCTCCATGCATACAGCCTCAATCTTACATCAAACTTCCAAAGTACCAACTCCACAAAAAACATGTATAATCCGTCTACAAAATCGCACATACAAAACTGCCATCACGAACGATACACATATCGACAAATTTGTACACCGAACATGTCAAAGAGGAGCTATTACAACAATTCCTAACAGTCTCAAAATAAAAAAGATGAAACACGAATTTACAAATCGTCGTTCATTTTGTACCCTCGTGATAAGTTGGGACATTAACTGGTCTTAGGCAAAGAGTAGATATAACGAGAGGCGACACTAGACAAGGAACCTACCCCTTAGAGAGAGACAGACACAACCAATTTAAATGCCCAAATCAAAAGAATCGGGGGTGCGCACGTGCATAGTGTAGAAGTATGGCGGTCGAAAAAGAATAGTTTAAACCTGCATATTCACCAGTAATTTATTTCTAATAAATATTTTGTCGTATCTCTGTAACACATTCATCCGTAATTTCTTGTGATATATAGTTTTCCGTTTTCTTAGAAGTTATTTGTAATAATCATTTCCGTAAAACATATTCTTCAAATATATTTTGCAGAGCAATCATTTTGGTATATTCTTTTCTTTTTCAACTTTTCAACGCCGTAAAATTGATAAAAATACCTCGAAAGACAATATTAATAATTGACAGAAAATTACCTCTTCGATAGCAGCATCGTCGTCCTCATCATCCTCCGTCAACTCCCGATTAAGAGTCGAAGACAATATCAGATCTCTTCGTCTCCTAGCCTTCTCAGCATCCGAGAGTCTCTGATCGTTCATCGTTTCATTCACAACCCTCCTCAAAGCTTCACCTTCCGGTCCCTTCTCCTCGATCTCGTCCATCAACCTCTTCAATATCTTCTTCCCCCGGAAACCCAGCGAATTGATTTTATTCAAAACATCCTGAAACACCTCAGCAGACGTCGGCTCCGAGTTTCTACTTTCCTCCGTTTCGTTCTTCTGGTTTCTCCTCTCGCCTCCATGTTCAAGTTTCCCGTGTTTCGTCAACATATGTTTTTCATTCTTCACACTCGAGTTCACCTTTTCCTGTTGCTTTTTTAAAACATCGCCGAAATTCTTCAACAGGTTCGTTTCTGGATTGGCAACATTCGGACCTGGAGGTTTGTCGATGTTGTCGACCTCCACGAACGTGCCTTCGTAGTGATGATGAGGATTCTCCTTCTGCTTTTTCTTCGTGTCGAGAGTTTTCGCGAACAGCTCGGTTAGAATTGTTCTCATCGCTTTGGCGTCTAGCTCGTGGCTGTTGTAGTGCACCATGGAGTTTGTTAGGTGTTTGGAGCTGTTGAAGAGGTGGGCTTTGTGGTGGAACTGCACGTCTTGGTGGACCCTCTTCATCTTCTCTGGCTCGTTACTGGGACTCTCTCTCTACGTACATAAACATAACACATTTTTTATGAAATATAAATCGTGTATGAAACTTTGTAACTCCACTGCAGTCTCAGACGTTCAAACCCTAGTTCAAACCCACTTAAATATTTCCAAAATTTGTTCAAACAATAAAACCATGGGAAAAATCATAGAAATCATAGAAGAGCATTGAAGATCAAATTTTATTGCATCTGTATAAAGTTCACCGCAAACTTTTACAGAAAATATTTCAAAATTCATCCTAATACCTCAAGAGTTCCATTAGCCGTAATAAGTCCAGTTTCCTTAGCAACCTCCAAAAGTTCCTCCAACTCCTCGCTGCTGTCATCGCCGATGAAAGCGCACTCATGAAGATGTTTGTGTCCGCGAATAATCGTCAGAGACGCTCCTGGCCATCTACCATACGATACATTTCTCAAAACCTTCAAATTTTTATGTTATATGTTTATTGAACTATTTGTTACCTTACGCAAGTGGAGACGGTGACCGTGCTACCACGAAGAAGATAAAATCCCCAATACTCCTTCATGTCGTCTTCCAAAATCAGGTGCCTTGTCATAGAGACAGGAAGCACATGGTTTTCCACTGTCGGCTCGTCGTTCATCAAGTAAGCGTTAAATGTCGCGTTTACTTTGATCACTTGACTCTGAAGATAATTATTTCTCGGTGTTTTATGAATTCTGACTTTATTATTTTTTATGAGTATATTATGTTTGATTCTCGACTATTTCGTTATAGAACACTATGAACTATTAAATACTGTGAACTATGTACACTATTAACTACTATGAACTATGTATACTATTAGCTACTGTGAACTATGTAAACGCGAACCAATCAGTTAGATTACCACGTGCTGGATTATTACGCACTGGATTACTGCGCGTTAGATTACCACGCGTTAGATTCCTACGCGTTGTATTACTACGCGTTGAATATCCACGCGCTAGATTACTACGCGTTGAATATCCACGCGCTAGATTACTACGCATTGGATATCCACACGCTGGATTACTACGCATTGGATATCCACACGCTGGATTACTACGTGTTGGATTACTACGCATTCGATTACTACGTATAGGATTACTACGCGTTGTATTACTACGCGTGGAAGTACCAAGCATTGCATTACTATGCGTGGAATTACCAAGCGTTGCATTACTACGCGTTGGGTTACTACGCGTTGAATATCCACGCGCTGAATTACTACGTGTTGGATTATTACGCGTTGGATTACTACGCGTTGTATTACTACGCGTGGAAGTACCAAGCGTTGCATTACTATGCGTGGAATTACCAAGCGTTGCATTACTACGCGTTGGGTTACTACGCGTTGAATATCCACGCGCTGGATTACTACGTGTTTTATTATTACGCGTTGGATTATTTCGCGTTCGATTACTACGCGTTGTATTACTACGCGTAGAATTACCACGCGTTGCATTACTATGGGTTGGATTATAACACGCAGGATTACCAAGAGTTTCATTACTACGCGTTGGATTACTACTCGTTGAATATCCACGCGCTGGATTGCTACGCGTTGGATATCCACACGCGAGATTACTACACGTCATCCGAAGCTGCCGTTCTCGCGTCTGCGCACGCGTCTCGCGCTCTGATTGGTTCGTGCTTTTCCTTAATAATTCAAAAACTTCAGAACGAATTTTCGCAAAGGGAAATATTATTCAAAACCACGTCAACTACCCCTATTTCAAGGACCTATACTAATTGTGATACACCCTGTAGAACCGTGTTCTATAAATCAATGATAAACAATTCCATATGCAATTAAATAATAAAAATTCCATATAAATCGGTATGTAAAAATTACTCTAGAAATTTATTACGTTTTGAAGTTTAAGAGAAGTGTTATTTATAGTAAATAATATTGAAATAATAATATTGTAAATAAAGTATTTAGTTAAATTATGTATGATCACCTACCTGGCACCAAGTGGTGGACACTTTAGCGTCGATAAGTCTCTGATCAGAGACAGTTACGGGGTACAGTTGTTCGGAATAAACGCGATATCGCAAATACATCGGCAATGCAACCAATATCGCGGGAAGCAGCATTCCCAACAAACATAATCGTAATAGTCTCAATGGCACCTTGTACTGCAACCTACGAGGCTCCCAGTCTCTTGGACGAGTATCTTCTATGAATTGCAAAACTCTTATGAAAGTCTTTCGTTCGATTGTATATTTAATATTCAACGTTTAAATGAGTTATCAAACTTTGATTATTAAACTCGTTCTGAATCTTCAGAGTTTAATTTTGTAAATTTTATAAATTTTGTAAATTTGAGTATTTAGAAACTCCAAGAGTATTTGGAACTTTTTTGAGGTCAAACTTTGAAAATTTTAGAGGTGTAGAATGTTTTGAAATATTAGCGGAAGTGTTAGCTTGAAATATGGAATTTAAGAAATATTTTCATGAGTAAAAATTTGAAAATTTTAGAGGTTTAGAAAGTTTTGAAATGTTAGCTGAAGTGATAGCTTGAAATATGGAATTTAAGAAATATTTGCATGAGTAAAAATTTGAAAAGTATTTGAAGAGTTAATAATTTAGAAATGTGAATGGAAGAAGTAAGAAGTAAAGAAGAAGTAAAGTAAAAAATACTATCAAAGTTTGATGACCCATTTCCGAAAGTAAATTAAACCGACAAAGCATGATAATTTAATGTTAATTAATTCCGTAATCAACAGTGTGCAAAGGTGACACGACAAAGTTCAGACCTTCCTATATTTTTTCAACATACTTGTTCTTTTCCATTTATTCAACACCAGTTATCAATACACAAAGCTACCCAAGTTTTATCAACTCTTGATCTCCGAAAGATTAAAATTCTTAATTCTTTTCATCCGATTCCTGTGTGTGCTACAAATATTACCTAAAGGTAAATGAAGAATTATCAAAATGTTTCTTTGCTTGTTTATTTATTATGTTACATGTAATAAATCACAAGTAAATCAGGCAATCAAAATATCGCTTCTCCGGCATATTGCGGGATTACACCGTCATCCGATAAGTACGTCGCTAATAGTTTCGTAACACTGTATGTACTCTGCTATATTTCCATCCATGTTTATTCATTAAGAAATTCAAAACATTCTAATCATTTAACTTTCAACGACGCAGATTAAAAGAATCGTGAGGTAATACAAAATCGCATTCAAATGTCAGGTCGTATCTTCGATCTTCTTGAAGACGCAGTCATTAACCTTTCTTGCGTTATTTTGTGAACAAGCTCTTTTCACAAAGTATTTCGATAAGAAAACAACAAACATTTTATATAAAACATTATAGAAAAAATTTGTTTAAAGAAGCATAATATTGTGAAACATTTTCAGAAGGCAAAAATAATTAACAAATATTTTTTAAGTGAAAAGTTTATTTTATTGCAAGAGCACATTTTTTAGATTGCGATATTAATAAGGAAATTAATCATTTTACTATATTTTACGCAGAAAAGTTTCGTCAAATATTTTCTAATAAAATACAGTGATAACCGATAACACCTAAAAACAGTGTTATACGTTGCATCGAATCTGAGTACACGTAATATGTTATGTATGTGTTTTAAATATGTCATAGATATTAATGGAATAAATATCGCCAATTGCGAGTCGAGTATCGCTACATGTAATCTCCTTTATCTTACGATATGGAGTGTTTTGAAAAAACGGAGTTCGATCTAACACTTCGATACTTGTTTTACTGACCGATAAGACATTGAGTTACAATTTGAATACAATGTACTATTTTAATTACTTCGCAATACGTGCTGTATACGCAACGATATTACTGCGATTTTTGTTTGAAGAAATATTGGAAAAAGAATTTGTTAACTTATTCGTGTGATTTTATAGTAATTTTTTATTTCAGAGCAGTTTTAGTAGTTTTAGATTTTTTTTCAAAATAGATAAATGTGTTAAGGAGGCCGAGCTTTGAGACACTGAAAATTTATAAGTTTGGAAATTTGGAAGCTTGCAAAAGGATTTGAAAATTTGGGAATTTTTAATTTGTGATTTGATGATTTAGAAATTGGGAAACTTGGGAATTTGGGAATTTGGGGATTTGGGGATTTGGGGATTTGGGAA